CAGGCCTCTCTCATCTTTTTAAGTGGGAGAACTTGCACAATTGGTGGCTGACTAAATACTTTTTTGCCCCACTTTATATCCCATCCTTTATTTTTGTATTTGATTTATCTTTTCCTAAATGTAGAATTTAGCACTTTTTCTTTATTAAATTTCATTTTTTTACATTCAGGTAATTTCTTTAACCTATACAGATGCCCTGCCCTATCTGTGGGGATTTTAATGTTGATCTTGATTCCCCACTGGCTGCAGAGGAATTTTTTTCTGTCCTGTCATTGTACAGCCTCTCTACCCTTTCCATTGGTCCCACTGATATCCATGGACAGATCACAGAGTTGGTTCTGTCTTCAATGATTATATCCTCACTAGATTTAGTTTTGCCAACATCAAAGCGCACTGTCTCCAGAACATTTGGGATAAGTGAAATCAGCAAGGGATCAGAATGTTCCTTCTTCAAAATCTAGTAAACCAAAACTTCTTTTTGTCCCAGAGAAATATTTTTGTTTGTTTTATTTACACAGTTATCCCTTACTGTAAAGCTTTCAAGTAAAATTTGATTTGGCAGGTTACAGCAATAATGGAATAAATTATCCAATGAAAATCCTAAAATGCTTCTCAGATTACTCTGAAACAGAACTTTAAAAATGACACACCCAAATCAAACTTGCCTAATGTACTCTTTGCTAATACAGTTTATTTTCTCTGATAAGAACTGTTAGAAAGTTAATCAAGAGGTCAGAAACAGCTTAATGATATGTGGAACACTCTGACCTATTTGGGCAGAACTGCCTATGATTTAATTCCCATCAAACATTTCCATTAACTCAGATGGAAGGAAGAGTACACCTCTTCTTTAAAATGAAGAGTAGCACTGCTACTGGAGGAAAAGAGAAATAAGGTTCATTACAGAATCCAAGAAAGTCTTCTCATATCTGCTGAAAAAAGATCACTGGAAAGGACATTTTTAATGAGGAAAAAACCCTAAGATAATATTTTCTAGGAGTTTTTCAAGCACTTGTCTTCTGTCTTTGAGAAAGCAAGTTTGGGAAGTAAGAATTCCTTCTGAAGGATGATATCAAAGATTTTTGTGCAACTATGAGGACTGGCGCATCACTAATATTACAGTATCTCATGATAATATATAATGCTTCTAACTGATGAGTCCAAAGACTAACTCCAACAATTAATGATATTTTAGATTTCTTTTAAGTGCTTTTTAATATCTGATGCTTTCTTTTTACTGCTATTCAAGCTAAATAGATAATTTATGGCAATTTCCAGTTTCATTATCTACTAAAAGTTGTTACTTACATTAAATAAACACAAAATAATAATCACTACATTAAAAGATTTTAAAAATTCCAATCTCTATCTTATTTCAAAGTGTACTATGTGAAAAATGTCAGGTAGAAAAACATAAAAGCAGTAAAAATAATAATAACCACACTGTTGACCTAAAAAACTAGGAAACCATTAGTTGATTATAGCATGTTAGAACAATTTAAAGCTGTCATAATCAAATATAGAGGCATGTTAAATTAGAAAAACAGGCCCTCACCTCACAAGTATTGTAGTCTTCAGAATCAAGCAGGCTACAAAGCTTTGGTAAAAGTTCAGGCCAGTTCTGCAATTCTCCTTTTGAGGCAATGGTTGTAATCAAGATACCTTGAATTTGTTTGAAGGAATTGAAATACAAGTTACTGATAATAAGATGCTTTAATATAACAATGTAACAAATTAATTCATAAATAAGGAAGGCAACAGAAAAAAGATTTAAAAGCTTGTCTCTTTAGGTGACTGAATAAGGTGTGTCTGTGTTTATAGATACATACACACACATATGTTTTTAGACTTAAATATGGACTGATATTCAATCTGGGTAGAAAGCTAATCTGCAGAGGAACGTCCTGGTACTCTTCTCAGTTCTCCTCAAGCCACAAAACATTGCCTTAACACTAGACAAGTAGATGGCATATGTAACTGTATGTATATGGTTAGAATATACACTTAAGGAAGTACTATTGGAAATGGGGGAATCTGCTGAAAGGCTGAAGCTGCAGGCAGTTCTTCCGTGATTTAATACAAAGATCAACTTTCACCCTTCAAATATAAGCAAGACTCCACTTCTACTATCACTAACTATTGGCCACACCAACTGGGGCTGATTTAATATAACAGCATCTGAATCGTCAACAGTTGCCTTTCTCATCTACTGATAAGGCAGACATACTTTGATTCTATATTCTGCAAGTAGAAACCATTACAGCAATTAAATAAACATATAAAGTAACTGCTGCTCATGAAACAGTGATTTTCCTTGCTGTTACTCCCCCATGCATACCCAAATTTGCTCTAAAATACCTCTCATTCTTCCAAAGATTTGGAAATATGTAGGAGGATCTGCTGACATATACAACTGACACAAACATAGGGGAACACTATATTAATTAATTAATTAAATTTGTATAGCCATCCATCTCACAAGAGAGCGACTCTGGGTGGCATACAACACTCAATTAAAAAGAACCAATAAATACATAAAAAACAATCATTAAAACTATAAAAAAACACACAAAACAGGAGACTATGATGTTAACTGTAGTAAGGGAGCCATTGCAAAATCTCCCCAGCCCCCTGGGACTCCCAGACCTGATCACATAGCCAGGTCTTGAGGGACTTGCAGAATGATAAGCAGGATGGGGCTAACCTCACTTCCGGGGGACAGAAAATTCCACAAGGCAGGCACCATGGCAGAGAAGGCCTGCCTCCTGGGACTGGCCAAATGTAATTCCCTGACAGGTGGGACCCACAGCATGCCTTCTCTGCCAGACCTGATGGGACAGGTAGATGTAACCAGGGAGAGGCGGTCCCTCAAATAACCCAGCCCCATGCCATGAAGGAATTTAAAGGTCAAAACCAGCACCTTGAATTGCACCCAGAAGCTAACTGGCAACCAATGCAGTTCGCAGAGCAGAGGTGTAACATATACCCTTCTAGGGGCACACATAACTGCCCACACAATTGCATTTTGCGCCAGCTGAATCTTCCAGATGCTCTTCAATGGCAGTCCCATGTAGAACACTTTACAGAAGTCCAAATGGGGGGTGACTAGGGCATGAGTGACAGTGAGCAGAGCCCCCCGATTCAGGAACAGGCATAACTGGTGCCCAACCCAAAGCTGTGCAAAGGCCCTCCTAGCCATGACTACCATTTGGTCTTCAAGCAGCAGTCATGAGTCCAGGAGGACCCCCAGATTGTGCACTGAGTCTGTCTGGGGCAGTGTAACCCCATCCAGCACCAAAGATGGCATAGTCCTAGAACTGGAAGGCCTCAAAACCCAAAGCCACTCAGTCTTGCCAGGGTTCAGCTGAAACCTATTGTTCCCCATCCAGACCCTCACAGCCCCCAGGTACCAGGATAAGACATTCACAGCATCGCTTAATTCGCCAGGGCAGAGATGTATAATTGGGTATCATCAGTGTACTGATGATACATCACCCCATGGTGATGGATGAGCTCCCCCATGTAGATGTTGATCATGTAGATGTTGAATAGGAGAGGGGAGAGTACCGAACACTGAGGCACCCCATACAGTAGGGGCCGAGGGCAGGATCTCTCCTCCCCAACTACCACCAACTGGAATTGGCTGTGCAGAAAGGAGGCAAACCAGCACAACACTGTGCTGCCCACTCCCAATCCTCTAAGCCAATCCAAAGGGATACCATTGTTGATGGTATCGAAAGCCACAGAGAAGTCAAGTAGGGCAAAGATAGATGCACAGCCTCCATCATGTCCTCACCAGAAATCATCCAAAAGCACAACCAATGCTGTTTCAGTCCCATACCCAGGCCTGAATCCCAATTGAAAGGGATCCAGATAATCTGCTTCATCCAAGGTCTTCCAAAGCTGCTGCGCAACCACCTTCTCAATCACCTTCCCCAAAAAAGGGAGGTTAGATACTGGATGAAAATTGTCTAGCATAGTGGGGTCCAGCGATGGCTTGAGGAGGGCACGACCATAGTCTCCTTAAGAGGTGAAGAAACAACCCCCTCACTCAAGGAAGCATTAACCATCACTAGAACCCACTCACAAGACACCCCCTGGTCCACTTTAACCAGCCAGAAGGGCATGGATCTAAAGACCAGATGGCTGAGCTCACAGCCCTAAGGACCCTGTCCACTTCCTTAGGTCCAACAGGTTCAAACCCTTCCCAGATAACAGGTCAAGACTCCTCCCTAGGCATCTCCACTGGACCTGCAGCAAAGCCAGCGTCCACTCTGAATGAATCAGAGCAAATTTGTCCAAGACATGCTAAGCAAATTCCTCCACCTGCCCCACAAGAGGTTCAGAGAACCTGACCCCCCCCTTACCCAGGAGGGCTCATGTCACCTGAAACAGGCCCATGGGGGGAGGTGTTATCTGCAGACAAGGGACAAACTTGACCAAACATGGGTAAGAGCTACTATTAAGGCCTACCTAGTGGCGGAAAGGGTGGCGAAGCATCATTACTCCTCCACTTTTATTGTGTATGCAGATATGGAATGGCCTGCTCCCCATCTCCCACCATATTTCCCCATGCTCGTCACCACCATAATACTTCTACCTGCCTCCATCCCATCAACAGCAGCCCCATCTCCATATCCAAGCCCCTCAGTTCCCAAGACCAGGAAGCACCTACTGTCCTCACTAGCCATCCCTGGGAGGGGAAGCCAGGCACCCTGAAGCATTTTAGCTTTACCAGCTTTCAGCACCTTCAAGGTACCTAGCGACCACCTCCCCACTTCACTGTAAGACAGTCACACACAGAAACATTCACGGGCACTCTTCCCCTGCTGCTCCCACAGGCAGGTAGAGGGCATCCTTCCCATTCACCCTCCATCAATTCCTCCTCTGACTGTCACCCAGAGGAAGGAACCCACACATTCACACACTTTCACACCCCACTAACATCCAAGGTACCCCCACCCTGCTGCTCCCACCAACTGGTGGAGGCTCCCATCCCATTTACCCTCTCCCCACCAAATCTACCCCCGGCTCTCACCCAGAGGAAGGGAAAAAAACGAAAGGATCAATTCACAATTCACAGTGGGAAATCCACAGTCCAATTCTCAAGCACTTCACTATTAAATAGGAGCCACGGGGGGGGGGGGTCCACAGTAGTCTGCCACACTATTGCAACCCCACCCTGCCCAGCCACTGCTCGCACCTCCAAATCCCCAGAATCCAACAGCAAGGCAGATGGTAAAAAGATGGTAAGAAAGAGGGCTGTTTTGGACTTCTGGGGAAGCAATGGTGGACTGAAGTTGTAGAGCCAACAGCTGTGGCGAAAAGAGGAGCTGATGAATGGATCAGATCCTCAGAACTCTTCTCCAGATCAAGGAGAAGACTAGGTTCACCCACAAGTTTGCTTCATACAGAGGCTCCTCTAAAAGACACTATAAAATAGCCATCTCTGGCACGTTTGAGAGTTCTGGGAGCCAGGGGGAAATCATCCTGCCAAAGCTGTGATTCAGTGCCTTCAAACGGAAACTGGGTTCTTCTACTTCCTTTCTTAACCAACTTAGGAAATTGCTTGTTATTGATTTTTTGGATGTTAAGAACCTTCTGAAGGGCAAGTTTCATTGCACTAGGAGAGATTCCTTCTATCCTGGATGAAAGAAGTTTCATGTAAGTTTAACAATTAAAAAGAAAAAAATTAGTTTTTGGAAAACAGCAAAAGGGGGAGTAGAATGCTAATTTTGGAAAGTTTTGGAAAGTTAAGGGGCCAGATGGACTTGAAAGAATATTTCCTGTGAGTTGTTTAAAATCTTATAAAAGTATATATGTGTATTTTGAAATTAACTCTATGAAATCCTCCTGTGGAAAAGTTTTGCTGATTGGAAAATAAACAAATCATAAGAGGGGACTTTGAAGGTTGACTAGAGGGAACCAGAGAGAACTAAGGATTATAATTAAAGGAGAAGAGACCTATTAATACAATGGAGCAATATTACTTGACTATAGAAGAAATTAAAGCAGTTTGGGAACAATGTACTCAGAAATACCTTCAAGATTGTCTGCCACTATAAAAATGGATCTAACAAAGGCTACAGAAGAGGAACAGACTACTGGACAAAATGAGACTGAGGCTCATTTGAACGTGGATTTGAAAATGGATTTTTTTAAAACGCCCGACTACAAGAGTGATATGGGAAAAGATGCTATGGATTTGAAAATG